CGTTATTGTGACTCATCGTCTGCACTGAGAGGAATGAGTGTATACACTCTTGATGATCGTTTACATGTATTGAAAATAGGATGGATCCAAGTAAAAAGCTGTGCTGGTCTCCACTGGTGACATCTCGCCACTCTGATGTCTCCCTCCGTCTCAGTTACTCGCTTTTTCCCTGTTGCTTAGATGTTCTCCTATCCACTAGAGAACCTTACCTTTTACTCCTGCCAGTTGCTCCAACTTTTGTAGCAGCCTTTTATAGGGGACTGTGTCTGAGGCTTTTTGACAGTCCAAGAAAATGCAGTCTGCCAATTCTTCTATTTCTTGTCTAATTTTTGCTGCCTGGTCATACAATATTATTAAGCCTGTGAGGCCCGATTTACCATCTCTTAAACCCATGCTGGTAGTGTGTTACAAAGCTATTTCCATCCAGATGCTCTATGAGCCTCTTCCTCACGATCTTCTCCATCACCTTGCATGGTATACAATTTAGGGAAACTAGTCTGTAGTTCACTGCCTCTTGCCTGTCACCCTTTTTGTATATTGGGACTATATTAGCTGTCTTCCAACTTTCTGGCTTGTCTCCTGTTTCCAGTGACCTGTTATAAACCATAGACAGCAACACACGTAGTGGCTCTGCACCCATTTTTAGTATCCGTAGTGAGATTCTGTCAGGCCCAACAGCCTTTGTCAATCAGATCCAACACATTCCTTTTGACCTCATCACTGGTGAGGTCAAACTTCTCCAAGGTTGCCTGGTTTGCCGCCTCCTCATTTAGTGTAGGGGCTTCTCCTTGTTTCATTGTGAAGATCTCCTGGAATATCTTGTTGAGTTCTTCACACACCTCTATGTCATTTTCTGTGTATCTGTTCTCCCCCCTCCCTTTTCTGAGTTTCATCACTTGTTCCCTCTCTGTTGTTTTCCTCCTAATGTGGCTGTGGAGATGTTTTTGCTCCGTCTCTCTTTTGTTTTGTGTCTCAGCTTCTCTTCTCACTCTGAGGTATTTATTTCTGGCCCTAAGGTATTTCTCCCTGTTATCCGGTGTTCTGCTGTCCCTGTATTTTCTCCATGTTCTTGTACTCAATTGCTTCGCTACTTTACATTCAGATTCAGATTCAGATTCAGATGTTTATTCAGGTAAGGTATATACATACAAGTGATGTTACATTAATGGATTGATATATAGATAGAGCTAGTACATACAATGCCTAAAGCCACTATTACGCAATGCGTTTCGGGCAATTCCTGATTGAACCATGGATTCTTTTGTTATTTTTCATTTACTCCTTTTGGGCTGGGATAATCCTGTCTGCAGCTTCCTGGCACTTGTGGGTGAAGTAGTCCATCATATTCTGTTCAGTCCTTTCTTCGAATTCTGTTTCCCATGGTATTCCCATTAGGAAGTTCCTCGCTTCGTCATATTTTCCTCTCTGGTATTTTAGCCTTTTCCCTCCCGATCCCATATTTGGATAGGTTATCCCTGCCTCCACCAGATACTCAAATATCAATACACTGTGGTCACTCATTTTCCTGGGAGGTTCAAATTTGACTTCCCTTTTTTCTGACTCATTCAAGGTGAATATCAGGTCGAATCTAGCTTGTACGTCATTGCCTCTCATTCTTGTGGGTCCCTTGACATGTTGGCTCAGATAGATTCTTGTTGACACTTCCAAGAGTTTAGTTCTCCATGTATCTGTACCTCAATGTGGGTCCCAATTCTCCCAGTCTATCTTTTCATTGTTGAACTCGTTCATGATTAAGTTTCTGGATTCATTCTTGCAGGCAGCTGATGCAGCTCTCTCTACTATATTATTGGTTGCCATGTTTTTCTTATCGATCTCCTGTCTGGGTCTTCTGTCATTCAGTGGAGGGTTGTAAATTACTGCTATTATTATCTTAGGGCCACCTATAGTCGCAGATCCTATTATGCAGTCTCTGAATCCTTCACATCCCAGAATTTCCATCTCTTCAAAACTCCAGTCTTTCATTATCAGCAAAGCCACTCCTTTTCTTCCTCTTCCTTCCCACTATTTCCTTACTGTATAGTAGTTCTGTGGAAACACTGCGTTTGTTATGACACCTGACAAATTTGTTTCTGTGAGTCCTGTTACTTCTGGGTTTTCTTCCTGCAGCCTTTCCACTTGCTTTGTTAGTAAACCCATCAATGTTTGAGTACATAACCTTGAAGCTAACTTTCCTCTATCTATCTATTTTCTCATACCCTCTGCACTGGTGTAGGAATCCGTTTCATGGCCAGGGAAACTTGGGTTGGCTCTTCCTGCTGTGAGGTAGTTACCAGGGGTTTGGAGGGAGGTGGGGTGGGGGATGGAGGGCTTAGATCTTGCCCGGCCTGTGTGGGAGAGGAAGAAGAATAAGGGGTGGGGGAGGGGAGGATCAGGGAGTTCTCAGGGTTTGGGTGGGGGCAGGGACTGCTCGGGGTGGGGGAGAAAGGGAGTGCTCAGGGTGAGGGTTCGTCCTGTGGAGTAGTTAACAGGGGTTTGAGGGGAGGTGTGGTGGGGGATGCATGGTTTAATGGTTTAAATATTGCCTGGGCCTGCTTGAGGCAGGAAGAAGACCAGGGGATAGGGAGGCAGAGGGTACTCTAGGTAAGAGGGGAGGGTGGATTTGGATGGTATGGTGGGCTTTGTGTAGGGGGAAGGGAGAGTTTGTGCTTGAGGTGGGGGAGGGGGGGGGGGCTCATATGGGGTGATAGGTTGGGGTGTTGCGGTCCTCTCTGGGGTTCCTGAATTGCTGGATTGGGGCTTCCCACTTCACTCTGGGATTGTTGGGTTTGAGTCTGAGGTTCCCTGGCTCCCTCTCCTTGCACCTTTCTCTTGCATCTGCTGCCTGTATTATCTCGTCCCTGGACATGTCCCTCTGAAGGAATACCTGTATGTAATTTCCTTACATATTTCAGTTTGCTCTTCTTTACTAGGATGTCTTCTTTGGTGGCCTCGTTCCTGAATACTACCTTGATTAATCGATTTTTTATCTTCGTTGTCCTGGCCAATCCAGAAAAACTTTTATATGCATTGTTCAACCCGTTCCATTTGTATTTCCTTCAGTATCCCTAACACTGTAGCTTTGTCCTTAGCCCTCCACTTTTCCTTCCTGGAACCTTCTTGTTCCATAATACCTGCCACGACTATAACTCTTTTCCTTTCCATTAATGGGCTCGTGCATCTAGCTGCCTCCCGTGAAGTTGCTGCTTTCATTGCAACTTCCTTGACTGTGGACATGGATTCTGGGCTCTTCCTTAGCATTTCAGCAAAGGTGGCACCCATTGTATGGGTCCCTGCCATTGCTATATCTCCTGCTTCCTAGGGGGTTGGTTGCCTGGGCCTAAGTCTGAGAAGGGCTTGTTTTATTTTGTATTCTTCCTGTGCTGCACCTAGTTCCATCTGTAGTTTAGTTATGGTTTCCCTCATGTTTTTCAATTCCCATCTGATTTCCCTCTATGCCTGAGCAATCATCTCCATGTATGACTCACCCTACCCCTTTCCCCCACCTGTGTTCTATTATCCTTCCATCATACTTGGACCTTTTTGTTTCATAGTGTTAGTGTTAGACAACAAGGATCAGAAAAATGACGAGAGAGAGGAAGGAGATAGAGAGTGAGATGGTAAAGGGGGAGACAGAAGGTGAGGAGGCTAAAGGGGGGAGGTGGAGGGAGATGAGATGAGAGATATTAGGGAAAGGGGGATTGTGGGTGTACTTACCTAGTTGTGTTTGTGGGGGTTGAGCTCTTGCTCTTTGGTCCCGCCTCTCAACGGTCAGTCAACTAATGTACAGGTTCCTAAGCCTACTAGGCTCTATCGTATCTACACTTGAAACTGTGTATGGAGTCAGCCTCCAACACATCACTTCCTAATGCATTCCATTTGTCTAGTACTCTGACACTGAAAAAATTCTTTCTAACTTCTCTATGGCTCATTTGGGCCCTCAATTTCCACCTGTCCCCTAGTGCATGTGCCCCCTTGTGGTAAATAGCCTGTCTTTATCTACCCTATCAATTCCTCTGAGAATATTGTATGTGGTGATCATGTCCCTTCTAACTCTTCTGTCTCCCAGTGACGTGAGGTTTAACTCCCGTAGTCTCTCCTCGTAGCTCATACCCCTCAGTTCGGGTACTAGTCTGGTGGCAAACCTTTGAATCTTTTCCAGTTTAGTCTTATGTTTGACTAGATATGGACTCCATACTGGAGCCGCATACTCCAGGATTGGTCTGACATATGTGGTATACAAAGTTCTGAAAGATTCCTTACATAGGTTTTTAAAGGCCGTTCTTATGTTAGCCAACCTGGCATATGCCGCTGATGTTATCCTCTTGATATGAGCTTCAGGGGACAGATCTGGCGTGATATCAACCCCCAGGTCTTTCTCTCTCTCAGTCTCTTGAAGGATTTCATCTTCCAAATGATACCTTGTATCATCATACACCAGATACACCAATCTTCATTACATTGCATTTGCTTGGGTTAAACTCTAACAACCATTTGTTCGACCATTGTTCGAGTGTGTGTGTGATGGTTGTGTGCTAGTAGTGATGCTACTGATGGTGGGGGCCTGGTGATGATGCTGGACATGATGTTTCTGATGGTACTTCTGGTGTGGTTTACAGCTGACATTAATACTTATCAACATCTGGAGGGTTATTAAGGCAACCACAAATACTGATTGACTCAGCAGCAACCAAAGTAAGCTCTCAGGGTACACACACCATGAAGCGAGGTACACATCTCTGTGTACATGTTGATACACATCCCTGTGTACATGTGGATACACATCTCTGTGTACATATGGTTACACATCTCTGTGTACATGTTGATACACATCTCTGTGTACATGTAGATACACATCTCTGTGTACATATGGTTACACATCTCTGTGTACATGTTGATACACATCTCTGTGTACATGTAGATACACATCTCTGTGTACATATGGTTACACATCTGTGTGTACATGTTCTACTAGTCGGCCGCAAGGTCACCCTTGTAGCAGCATGTTGGATGGTTTGAAGAATGACACTTGATCCTGTTGATAGGTGATCTCTCCGGACATATATCATTATTCAGCCAACTCATCAACATTCGCCCAAGACGGTGAGTCTTGGGCGAATGCTGATGAGTTAATAATGAGTAACTTGAGAGTTACGAACACAACTAAAGGCGGATCTGGATAAAGGATGAATCCGGATTCACGCCTTTAACTCCGGTTAGTTATGTTAACGTGGAGATTATTGACCGGATTAATAACCCACAATATGACATACTTGAAGACCTTGTGAGCGACATACCGAAAGGTTTGGTGACCTTAACAATCACACATAATGATTCCTGGGACTTTGTCGCCACATTATTGATAGTAATATCTAGAGACCATTACAGATTCACATAGTAAGACATGATGGTTCATATTATAATGAGATCTGATTGCTTTCAATACACCATAGTCTTAACTGGTGACCTTGAAGACATCGTAGTGATCTTGATGACCCCATATTGTGGAAACTGGTGACCTTAAAGAACTTCAGTAGTACAGTGACCTTGAGCATCTCCCTCCCACCCCCTCTCTCCACCAGGGGCGGAGAACTGGAGACTCACAGTAACCTGGTGACCTTAAAGTTCACTTATAGTAAGACCTGGTAACCTTGAACATCTCCCCCCACCCAGAGGCGCAGACCTGGAGACTCACAGTAACCTGGTGACCTTTGCAGGAGGAGAGAGTGAGGAGAACGCCCCGGAGATCACGTGGGGTCAGGCCAACACCCACACGGCCTACTTCGGCGACCTCTCCTCCACCAACGTGACGGCCGTGGTGGGTCACAAGGCCTCGCTGCCCTGTCGCGTCCTCAACCTTGGCAACAAGGATGTGAGTTCCTCCTTCGTCGTGTGTTTTAACGTTGTATCTGACTGGATCCTGGTGGACCATCCCCTTGGGCTCATCGGTAGAGTGCAACGGCTGAGCTTTTTGCAGGGGTCGATGTTCGACACCCGATGGCCCCCCTAGGGATTGGGCACTATTAATCCAGAAGGTCCTCATATCCCAGCTCCTTGTCCTTATATCGCAGCTCCTTGTCCTCATATCCCAGTTCCTTGTCCTCATATCCCAGCTCCCTGTTCTCATATGCCAGCTCCTTCTCATATCCCAGCTTCTTGTCCACATATCCCTCCCAATTGCTCTCAAATCATTGGGATTTTTTTACATAATTACTTATCTAATCTTGATAATTAGGCTTGTGATCTCTCTGTACACATCATCTACATATTTGTGTTAACCTATATGTAATTTAATTGGTTTCCATGTAATACAAAAATGAATAATTTGCCAAACAAGGCGAGATAAAATGTATTATTTTCGTCTTGCTTTCTTGTGTGTGTGGCGGCGCCAGGTGTCCTGGATCAGGCAGCGAGACCTGCACATCCTGACGGTGGGAATCTTCACTTACACCACAGACGACAGGTTCAAGGTACTTATACCCCATCACTGTCTTATAGGTACCCATCACTGTCTTATAGGTACCCCATCACTGTCTTAAAAGGTTCCCATCACTGTCTTATATGGTACCCCATCACTGTCTTATAAGGTACCCCATCATTGTCTTATAAGGTACCCATCACTGTCTTATAAGATACCCATCACTGTCTTAAAAGGTTCCCATCACTGTCTTATATGGTACCCCATCACTGTCGTATAGGTGCCCATCACTGTCTTATAGTTACCCCATCACTGTCTTAAAAGGTTCCCATCACTGTCTTATATGGTACCCCATCACTGTCTTATAAGGTACCCCATCATTGTCTTATAAGGTACCCATCACTGTCTTAAAAGGTTCCCATCACTGTCTTATATGGTACCCCATCACTGTCGTATAGGTGCCCATCACTGTCTTATAGGTACCCATCACTGTTTTATAAGGTACTCATCACTGTCTTATAGGTACCCATCACTGTTTTATAAGGTACCCCATCACTGTCTTATAGGTACCCCATCACTGTCTTATAGGTACCCCATCACTGTCTTATAGGTACCCCATCACTGTCTTATAAGGTACCCCATCACTGTCTTATAAGGTACCCATCACTGTCTTATAAGGTACCCATCACTGTCTTATAAGGTACCCATCATTGTCTTATAAGGTACCCCCATCACTGTCTTATAAGGTACCCATCACTGGCTTATAAGGTACCCATCACTGGCTTATAAGGTACCCATCACTGGTTTATAACGTACCCCATCATTGTCTTATAAGGTACCCATCATTGTCTTATAAGGTACCCATCACTGGCTTATAAGGTACCCCATCATTGTCTTATAAGGTACCCATCACTGTCTTATAAGGTACCCATCACTGTCTTATAAGGTACCCATCACTGTCTTAAAAGGTTCCCATCACTGTCTTATATGGTACCCCATCACTGTCTTATAAGGTACCCATCACTGTCTTATAAGGTACCCATCACTGTCTTATAAGGTACCCATCACTGTCTTATAAGGTACCCCATCATTGTCTTATAAGGTACCCATCACTGTCTTATAAGGTACCCCATCATTGTCTTATAAGGTACCCCATCATTGTCTTATAAGGTACCCATCACTGTCTTATAAGGTACCCATCACTGTCTTATAAGGTACCCATCACTGTCTTATAAGGTACCCATCACTGTCTTATAAGGTACCCCATCATTGTCTTATAAGGTACCCATCACTGTCTTATAAGGTACCCATCACTGTCTTATAGGTACCCCATCACTGTCTTATAAGGTACCCATCACTGTCTTATAGGTACCCCATCACTGTCTTATAAGGTACCCATCACTGTCTTATAGGTACACCATCACTGTCTTATAGGTACCATATCACTGTCTTATAAGGTGCCCATCATTGTCTTATAGGTACACCATCACTGTCTTATAAGGTACCCATCACTGTCTTATAAGGTACCCATCACTGTCTTATAAGGTACCCCCATCACTGTCTTATAAGGTACCCATCACTGTCTTATAAGGTACCCATCTCTGTCTTATAAGGTACCCATCACTGTCTTATAAGGTACCCATCATTGTCTTATAAGGTACCCATCACTGTCTTATAAGGTACCCATCACTGTCTTATAAGGTACCCATCATCACTGTCTTATAAGGTACCCATCACTGGCATAAGGTACCCATCGCTGGCTTATAAGGTACCCATCATTGTCTTATAAGGTACCCATCACTGTCTTATAAGGTACCCATCACTGTCTTATAAGGTACCCATCACTGTCTTATAAGGTACCCATCACTGTCTTATATAAGGTACCCCATCACTGTCTTATAAGGTACCCATCACTGGCTTATAAGGTACCCATCACTGTCTTATAAGGTACCCATCACTGGCTTATAAGGTACCCCATCATTGTCTTATAAGGTACCCATCACTGTCTTATAAGGTACCCCATCACTGTCTTATAAGGTACCCCATCACTGTCTTATAAGGTACCCCATCACTGTCTTATAAGGTACCCCATCACTGTCTTATAAGGTACCCCATCACTGTCTTATAAGGTACCCATCACTGTCTTATAAGGTACCCATCACTGGCTTATAAGGTACCCATCACTGGCTTATAAGGTACCCATCACTGGCTTATAAGGTACCCATCATTGTCTTATAAGGTACCCCATCACTGTCTTATAAGGTACCCATCACTGGTGCCTTCTGTAAGCGGCTCTCCCGCTTAATACAACATTTGATGATACAATACGTGTATGCTGTTTGTAAATTGCTGTTAGGTTAATTTCTTTTGCATGTTGTCTGTTTACAGTGATGACAGGGTCATGTGGTGAAGGTATTGTCCGCTATGTCTTGAGAAGTTTTGTGACCTGCTGAGTAAATAACATTGAATTTAGAAGTTCTTGACTATCGTTTTGGTTTAATATATTATCCTCCAATACAACCGTGACCTCCCACGCCCACCTCCCACATAACCGTGACCTCCCACACAACCGTGACCTCCCACAGACTCCCACACAACCGTGACCTCCCACGCCAGACTCCCACACAACCGTGACCTCCCACACCAGACTCCCACACAACCGTGACCTCCCACACCAGACTCCCACACAACCGTGACCTCCCACGCCCACCTCCCACACAACCGTGACCTCCCACACCAACCTCCCACACAACCGTGACCTCCCACGCCCACCTCACACACAACCGTGACCTCCCACGCCCACCTCCCACACAACCGTGACCTCCCACGCCAGACTCCCACACAACCGTGACCTCCCACACCAACCTCCCACACAACCGTGACCTCCCACGCCAGACTCCCACACAACCGTGACCTCCCACACCAACCTCCCACACAACCGTGACCTCCCACACCAACCTCCCACACAACCGTGACCTCCCACGCCAGACTCCCACACAACCGTGACCTCCCACACCAACCTCCCACACAACCGTGACCTCCCACGCCCACCTCCCACACAACCGTGACCTCCCACGCCCACCTCCCACACAACAACAGTGACCTCCTACGCCCACCTCACACACTCCGTGACATCCTACGCCCACCTCCCACACAACCATGACCTCCCACGCTAATCTCCCACACAGTCTTCCCTAATCTCAGTACTTTACCCTGGGCCCATCTCAGGCGTTCCACCCACCAGAGAGCGAGCAGTGGTACTTGGAGATCAACCCCGTCACCTTCAGAGACGCGGGCGTGTACGAGTGCCAGGTCTCCACCAGCCCCAAGATCTCCCTGCCCATCATGCTGGGTGTTGAAGGTAAGTGGGCAAGCTATGCAGTGGTAGGTAAATCAATTAGATCTTTGCCTATTGTGATGCCAGTGTAACGTATGAAGGAGAGCCCTAGACCCTTCTGCTACCTTGGAACTGTGAGGAGAGAAGTGCGTGTCTGTGCCACATTGCCGTGTGTGGACAGTACAGTGAAGCTGCCACTTCTGTGGCTTTGTGGGATGCGGCCGTCCCCGTCCATGTATTAGCTTTAAACAAGCTAGACAGTTTTTTCATCATATGAAGTGCTACCGATTTTAGATTCGTAAGTGCATATATGAAGGACATTCAATAGATTTAACACGCACATGCTCCACAAACCATATATTTTTCCTGTCTCGATCTATTAGGGTCTATAATCTTTTTTTGTCCTTAGCTTGATAGCAATTTCATTATCAGTCAATAAACATCCTCGTTGGCATTTAGACATTGACATTTTTCAGTGGATTGGACCCACATTAGTAATATATAAATTCAATTTTTGTTTTGAGTCATGCGATATTTACAGGTCTGTGGAACAAGTCTCTGACAGTATTATTGCTCATATCGGAACCTTCATTCTATGTTTGTCTCAAAATCTACCTCTTTCAAAGTCTTACTCAATGTCAATTCTGGGAAGGAATCCATCCAAAATTCCTTAATGAAAAACTTCTTAAACACTAACTGTGTTGCAGATTTCACTCTGATCATCAGTATGGTTTACGTAATAAAAATTCTACTGGTGATCCTCACTCGTGATAAAAGTAAACTTTTAGTAAATGTCCTAATCTCTAAAATTTCCTCAAGTTTTCCTAAAATTGTTTACTACCCGCGTCAGAGAGATTTGTGGCTGCTTCTGCAGACATCCAACTCATGCTTTATCTTACGGAAACTGGTCGAATAAGGCTCTGTTTTATTGCTTACTATTTTCTTATTATTTCTTAAGAATCCCCACAACATATCAATTTCGTTCCGTTCTAAGGATGATGAATCAACATTGCATTGTTGCTCAAACTTCAGGTGCTGTTATTCTCTGCAGTTTAATCAACTTCAATTTCAGTCAAATATGCTCAGTGGCCACTCGAATACAAACATTGTCCTCCGCTAATATTCTTGGAAACACAGGCACATGTGTCGTGTTTTAATACTGGGAAGCACAGGCACATGTGTCGTGTTTTAATACTGGGAAGCACAGGCACATGTGTCGTGTTTTTAAACTGGGAAGCACGGGCACATGTGTCGTGTTTTAATACTGGGAAACACAGGCACATGTGTCGTGTTTTAATACTGGGAAACACAGGCATATGTGTCGTGTTTTAATACTGGGAAACACAGGCACATGTGTCGTGTTTTAATACTGGGAAACACAGGCACATGTGTCGTGTTTTAATACTGGGAAGCACGGGCACATGTGTCGGGTTTTAATACTGGGAAGCACAGGCACATGTGTCGTGTTTTAATACTGGGAAGCACGGGCACATGTGGCGGGTTTTAATACTGGGAAGCACAGGCACATGTGTCGTGTTTTAATACTGGGAAGCACGGGCACATGTGTCGTGTTTTAATACTGGGAAGCACGGGCACATGTGTCGTGTTTTAATACTGGGAAGCACGGGCACATGTGTCGGGTTTTAATACTGGGAAGCACAGGCACATGTGTCGTGTTTTAATACTGGGAAGCACGGGCACATGTGTCGTGTTTTAATACTGGGAAGCACGGGCACATGTGTCGTGTTTTAATACTGGGAAGCACGGGCACATGTGTCGGGTTTTAATACTGGGAAGCACAGGCACATGTGTCGTGTTTTAATACTGGGAAGCACGGGCACATGTGTCGTGTTTTAATACTGGGAAGCACGGGCACATGTGTCGTGTTTTAATACTGGGAAGCACAGGCACATGTGTCGTGTTTTAATACTGGGAAGCACGGGCACATGTGTCGTGTTTTAATACTGGGAAGCACGGGCACATGTGTCGGGTTTTAATACTGGGAAGCACAGGCACATGTGTCGTGTTTTAATACTGGGAAGCACGGGCACATGTGTCGTGTTTTAATACTGGGAAGCACGGGCACATGTGTCGGGTTTTAATACTGGGAAGCACAGGCACATGTGTCGTGTTTTAATACTGGGAAGCACGGGCACCTGTGTCGTGTTTTAATACTGGGAAGCACGGGCACATGTGTCGGGTTTTAATACTGGGAAGCACAGGCACATGTGTCGTGTTTTAATACTGGGAAACACAGGCACATGTGTCGTGTTTTAATACTGGGAAGCACGGGCACATGTGGCGGGTTTTAATACTGGGAAGCACAGGCACATGTGTCGTGTTTTAATACTGGGAAACACAGGCACATGTGTCGTGTTTTAATACTGGGAAGCACAGGCACATGTGTCGTGTTTTAATACTGGGAAGCACGGGCACATGTGTCGTGTTTTAATACTGGGAAACACAGGCACATGTGTCGTGTTTTTAAACTGGGAAGCACGGGCACATGTGTCGTGTTTTAATACTGGGAAGCACAGGCACATGTGTCGTGTTTTTAAACTGGGAAGCACGGGCACATGTGGCGGGTTTTAATACTGGGAAGCACGGGCATGTGTCGTGTTTTAATACTGGGAAGCACAGGCACATGTGGCGGGTTTTAATACTGGGAAGCACGGGCATATGTGTCGGGTTTTAATACTGGGAAGCACGGGCACATGTGGCGGGTTTTAATACTGGGAAGCACAGGCACATGTGGCGGGTTTTAATACTGGGAAGCACGGGCACATGTGGCGGGTTTTAATACTGGGAAGCTCGGGCACATGTGGCGGGTTTTAATACTGGGAAGCACGGGCACATGTGGCGGGTTTTAATACTGGGAAGCACAGGCACATGTGGCGGGTTTTTAAACACCTCAGTGTAGGCCTTGAGTGCTTCCCAAAATAACATGGAACGCCTTTTGTGGAGTGAAAACATATTTCACTCATCTACGAGAGTCCGTATTCTACAAAAAGTCTACAAAAGTCATATTCACCCTCGAATGGGCCACTGCTCTCGTATCTGGAAAGCATCCATACTACTAAATTTCTTAATACAATTCATAAGAAAGCTGTTTGTTTAATCATTGAACGTTCAATTACGTTCAAAGCTTTAGTCATTAGTCTAGGCGAAAAGTTGCGTTTCTTGTTCGTTTCGCTTATTCCGTCGATCGTTCTTTCAGGAAAAAATCCATTTTTTTTTTCTTCAAAACAATTGATTTAAAAGGATTTTAGTTTTAAAACAACATACGAAATTGACGGTAATGATTATTTAAAACAAGCAACGAACCTAGCAGTAAAATAGGTACCTGGGTGTTAGACAGCTGTCACGGGCTGCTTCCTGGGGGTGGAGGCCTGGTCGAGGACCGGGCCGCGGGGACACTAAAAAAAAAAAAGCCCCGAAATCATCTCAAGATAACCTTGAATGTTATAGATTCTGTCTCGACAATTTCTTGACTTAACGTTTAAGTTGTCTCCTCTTATCCTCGTTAAAACACGGATAATAATTTTGTCCAACTGCTGGGCTTTGTGATGAGTTCAGTCTCATTAAGGCGAAAAGTGAAGCAGAGTTTAAGAGCCTCTTAAAAACCACTAATTCTTTTGCAGAGTTCTTGCTCATTATTTCAGTGATCAGCGTACACAGTTGCCATCATTATGCACAGTTACCACCAGCATGTACAGTAACCACTTTGACGTGCACAGTTGGGGAGTGGCCACCAGCATGCACAGTAACCACTTTGACGTGCACAGTTGGGGAGTGGCCACCAGCATGTACAGTAACCACTTTGACGTGCACAGTTGGGGAGTGGCCACCAGCATGCACAGTAACCACTTTGACGTGCACAGTTGGGGAGTGGCCACCAGCATGCACAGTAACCACTTTGACGTGCACAGTGGGCGAGTGGCCACCAGCATGCACAGTAACCACTTTGACGTGCACAGTTGGGGAGTGGCCACCAGCATGCACAGTTGCCCAACCATCAGATCTTGATGATGCATAATGCTGAGCTGAATATTGTTTTGTTTCCTAATAATATCCATAATTAGCAGAGGTGTACAACTTGCATATATTACGAGGTAATGATCTGTTACAGTGAAAGTCGCGATGTTACAGTGTAGAACATGTTATAGGGAGGTTTATGATGTTACAGTGTAGGAAATGACGTTACAGTGAGGCTTATGATGTTACAGTGTAAGAAATTATGTTACAGTGAAACTTATGACGTTACAGTGAGGCTTATGATGTTACAGTATAAGACATGAAGTTACAGTCAGGCTTAGGATGTTACAGTGAAGGACATGACGATACAGTGAGGCTTTTGATATTAAGAACATAAGGACACAAGTAGCTGTAGAAGGCCTATTGGTCCATACGAGGCAGCTCCTATTTATAACCACCCAATCCCTCTCATATACATGTCCAACGTACGTTTGAAACAATCGAGGGACCCCACTTCCACCACGTTATGCGGTAATTGGTTCCACAAATCAACACCCATGTTACCGAACCAGTATTTACCCAAGTCTTTCCTAAATCTAAACTTATCCAACTTATACCCATTGCTTTGTGTTCTGCTCTGTCTTATGTAGATAATTTTAATAACCTATTAATATCCCCTTTGGTTATGCCCATTCATCCACTTGTAAAAAATCTATCATGTCATCCCTAGTTCTTCGTCTTTCTGGAGAATGTAATTAAAGCTTTGTCAATCTTTTTTCATAGACAGGTTTCTAATTTGGGAAATTAACTTCGTCATCCTACGCTGGACGCGTTCTAGTGAATTTATATCCATTCTATAGTACGGCGACCAAAACTGAACTGCATAATCTAAATGGGGCCTAACCAGATCAAGCACCAGGTTTCTTATTAGTAACGCTTCGATAAATTTATCCCAGTGTCCTATTTGTCTTATTACGAACATTTATGCATTGATTTTTTGGTTTTAAATTCTTACTAATCATAACTCTCAGATCCCTTTCACAATCCGACTTTGCAATCTCAACACCATCTAGCTCGTATCTTGTAACTCTGTTATCATAACCTAGCCTCAAAACCTTACATTTACTCAAACCTGAATCTAAATCATTTACATATATTATGAATAACAGAGGTCCCAGGACTGAGCCTTGAGGCAATCCACTTACAACATTTTCCAAATCTGACTTAACCCCATTTATACTAACTCTTTGTTTCCTTTGGTATAGCCTATAACCTAATCCCACTTTATATAGCACCCCCAATACCATGAGCCTCTATCCTTTTAATCAGTCTTTCATGTGGCACTGTATCAAAAGCTTTGCTTAAGTAAAGGTACACAACATCACAATCCTTACCACTATCAACTGCCTCAACTACGCTAGAACAAAATGAGAGCAAATTTGTTAAACGTGAACGGCCATTTGTAAAACCATGTTGTGAATCATTTATTAATTTATGTTTTACAAGACGAAGATGAATGGTATTTCCAATTATCGATTCAAGTAACTTTCCCAAAATAGACATTAAGCTAATTGGCAGATTTTTTTAGAAAAGTGATCTGTTTCCTTTCTTGAAAATTAGAACCACATTAGCAACCTTCTACGACTCTGGCACTCTGCCTGACTCTAATGATTTATTAAATATGGTAGACAGTGGCTCGCAAAGCTTCTCATTGCATTCGTGAAGCAACCTGGCAAACACTTCGTCTGGCCCTGGGGATTTGTTTGGTTTGAGTTTCACTATTTGTTTAACAACATCCTCCTTGGTAAATGCTAAACTAGTTAACCAGTCCTCTTCCCTACCCTCGTAGACTTGTTCGGCTGAAGGCATAAAATTAAGATCTCTTCGTCGTTATCAGTTATCTGACCTGTCTCAGTTTTTTATGGACCTATCCCTTCCCTAATTTTTGTTTGATGTAACTAAAAAAAACCTTTAGGAATTGTCTTTGCTTGCTCTGCTATGCTAACTTCATAGTCTCCTTTTGTCCCTCCTTATCTCTTTATTTAACATTTCTTACCAGTTGGACGAATTCTTGTTCTAAACTGACTTCCCTATTCTTTCTCTCTTTGTACCAAGCTCTCTGTCTACCTATAAGGTTTTTCAGATCATTTGTTATCCATTTCTGGTCATTAGTATTCAATCTATTCAATTTGTATGGTATACTATATACTATTTGTTCCTATTTGTATGGTATACCATACTATTTGTATGGTATACCATGTGTTTTGCTTAGAATATTTTTATATAAGTTATATTTTGAATCCACATCGAAATCCCTTTTTACGTCACCTGTCACTGGGTTCATGTCTTGCTCCAAGACCGGCCAACCCCCCCTCCCCCCTGCCCAAGACTTTCCAATCTATTTCATTCCAAAAAATTCTTAGGCTATTAAAATCAGCTTTTCGAAAATCTGGCACTTAACAGAATTTTAATCTTCAAATCTATTCCATTATATACTAAATATGATTTCTTTGTGATCCCTGTTCCTTAGCTCACTCCCTATTTCGATGTCATTAATTTGTGTTTCCCTGTTAGTTAATACTAAGTCTAAAATATTATTTTCCCGCATTGGTCCCTTAATGTGTTGCTTAAGAAAGCAATCGTCAATTAATTCTAGAAAATCTTCTGCTTCATTATTCCCTGTTCTGTTAAACCAATTTATTCCACTAAAATAAAGGTCACCCATCACACAAATACTATTAGACTTAGATACTCTAGATATTTCTTCCCATAGATGCTTTGCTTCCATTCTGCCTAATTTTGGTGGCCTGTATATAACTTCAATTATAAGATTATTTCTTTTTTTCGTTTAATTCTATCCATATAGTTTATGTGTGTATCTCAGTTTTCATTCCGTTTGAAACTACATTTCAAATTTTCCCTAACATATACGGCTACTCTGTTACAGTGTAAGACATGACGTTAGAGTAAGGCTTATGATATTACAGTGCATGACGTGACGCTACAATGAGGCCTATGATATTACAGTGTTAGATAAAACGTTAGAGGGAGGCTTATGATGCTAGAGTGTAAGACATAACGTTACAGTGAGACATATGATGTTACCGTGGAGTTTTGGACGTCACAGTGACGGTTGGGTCGCTACAACGAAGGTTACGGTGTATTACAGTGCAGCAGGCGCGGGTGGAGGGGCCAACGGAGGTGTACATCCAGAAGGGGTCGACAATCCGTCTCACGTGTGTCGTCAACACCCACTCCGACAACGTCGGCGCTGTCGCCTGGTTCCGCGACACCCAACCACTCGACTACGACTCCCCCAGGTGAGTGTGTCCCCAGGTGAGTGTGTCCCCAGGTGGGTGTGTCCCCAGGTGGGTGTGTCCCCAGGTGGGTGTGTCCCCAGGTGGGTGTGTCCCCAGGTGGGTGTGTCCCCAGGTGGGTCCCCAGGTGGGTGTGTCCCCAGGTGGGTATGTCCCCAGGTGGGTGTGTCCCCAGGTGGGTGTGTCCCCAGGTGGGTATGTCCCCAGGTGGGTGTGTCCCCAGGTGGGTATGTCCCCAGGTGGGTGTGTCCCCAGGTGGGTGTGTCCCCAGGTGGGTATGTCCCCAGGTGGGTGTGTCCCCAGGTGGGTGTGTCCCCAGGTGGGTGTGTCCCCAGGTGGGTGTGTCCCCAGGTGGGTGTGTCCCCAGGTGGGTGTGTCCCCAGGTGGGTGTGTCCCCAGGTGGGTGTGTCCCCAGGTGGGTGTGTCCTCAGTGGGTGTGTCCAGGTGGGTGTGTCCCCAGGTGGGTGTGTCCCCAGGTGGGTGTGTCCCCAGGTGGGTGTGTGTGTCCCCAGGTGGGTGTGTCCCCAGGTGGGTGTGTCCCCAGGTGGGTGTGTCCCCAGGTGGGTGTGTCCCCAGGTGGGTGTGTCCCCAGGTGAGTGTGTCCCCAGGTGGGTGTGTCCCCAGGTGGGTGTGTCCCCAGGTGGGTGTGTCCCCAGGTGGGTGTGTCCCCAGGTGGGTGTGTCCCCAGGTGGGTGTGTCCCCAGGTGGGTGTGTCCCCAGGTGGGTGTGTCCCCAGGTGGGTGTGTCCCCAGGTGGGTGTGTCCCCAGGTGGGTGTGTCCCCAGGTGGGTGTGTCCCCAGGTGGGTGTGTCCCCAGGTGGGTGTGTCCCCAGGTGGGTGTGTCCCCAGGTGGGTGTGTCCCCAGGTGGGTGTGTCCCCAGGTGGGTGTGTCCCCGGTGGGTGTGTCCCCAGGTGGGTGTGTCCCCAGGTGGGTGTGTCCCCAGGTGGGTGTGTCCCCAGGTGGGTGTGTCCCCAGGTGAGTGTGTCCCCAGGTGGGTGTGTCCCCAGGTGGGTGTGTCCCCAGGTGGGTGTGTCCCCAGGTGGGTGTGTCCCCAGGTGGGTGTGTCCCCAGGTGAGTGTGTCCCCAGGTGAGTGTGTCCCCAGGTGGGTGTGTCCCCAGGTGAGTGTGTCCCCAGGTGAGTGTGTCCCCAGGTGGGTGTGTCCCCAGGTGGGTGTGTCCCCAGGTGGGTGTGTCCCCAGGTGGGTGTGTCCCCAGGTGAGTGTGTCCCCAGGTGAGTGTGTCCCCAGGTGAGTGTGTCCCCAGGTGAGTGTGTCCCCAGGTGGGTGTGTCCCCAGGTGGGTGTGTCCCCAGGTGGGTGTGTCCCCAGGTGAGTGTGTCCCCAGGTGAGTGTGTCCCCAGGTCCCCAGGTGAGTGTGTCCCCAGGTGAGTGTGTCCCCAGGTGAGTGTGTCCCCAGGTGAGTGTGTCCCCAGGTGAGTGTGTCCCCAGGTGGGTGTGTCCCCAGGTGAGTGTGTCCCCAGGTGAGTGTGTCCCCAGGTGGGTGTGTCCCCAGGTGAGTGTGTCCCCAGGTGGGTGTGTCCCCAGGTGGGTGTGTCCCCAGGTGGGTGTGTCCCCAGGTGAGTGTGTCCCCAGGTGAGTGTGTCCCCAGGTGGGTGTGTCCCCAGGTGAGTGTGTCCCCAGGTGAGTGTGTCCCCAGGTGAGTGTGTCCCCAGGTGAGTGTGTCCCCAGGTGAGTGTGTCCCCAGGTGGGTGTGTCCCCAGGTGAGTGTGTCCCCAGGTGAGTGTGTCCCCAGGTGAGTGTGTCCCCAGGTGAGTGTGTCCCCAGGTGAGTGTGTCCCCAGGTGAGTGTGTCCCCAGGTGGGTGTGTCCTCAGGTGAGTGTGTCCCCAGGTGAGTGTGTCCCCAGGTGAGTGTGTCCCCAGGTGGGTGTGTCCCCAGGTGAGTGTGTCCCCAGGAGAGTGTGTCCCCAGGTGAGTGAGTCCCCAGGTGGGTGTGTCCCCAGGTGAGTGTGTCCCCAGGTGGGTGTGTCCCCAGGTGGGTGTGTCCCCAGGTGAGTGAGTCCCCAGGTGAGTGTGTCCCCAGGTGGGTGTGTCCCCAGGTGAGTGTGTCCCCAGGAGAGTGTCCCCAGGTGAGTGAGTCCCCAGGTGAGTGTGTCCCCAGGTGGGTGTGTCCCCAGGTGGGTGTGTCCCCAGGTGAGTGTGTCCCCAGGTGGGTGTGTCCCCAGGTGAGTGTGTCCCCAGGTGGGTGTGTCCCCAGGTGGGTGTGTCCCCAGGTGGGTGTGTCCCCAGGTGGGTGTGTCCCAGGTGAGTGTGTCCCCAGGTGGGTGTGTCCCCAGGTGAGTGAGTCCCCAGGTGAGTGTGTCCCCAGGTGAGTGTGTCCCCAGGTGAGTGAGTCCCCAGGTGGGTGTGTCCCCAGGTGAGTGTGTCCCCAGGTGAGTGAGTCCCCAGGTGAGTGTGTCCCCAGGAGAGTGTGTCCCCAGGTGAGTGAGTCCCCAGGTGGGTGTGTCCCCAGGAGAGGGTGTCCCCAGGTGAGTGAGTCCCCAGGTGAGTGTGTCCCCAGGTGAGTGAGTCCCCAGGTGGGTGTGTCCCCAGGAGAGGGTGTCCCCAGGTGAGTGAGTCCCCAGGTGAGTGTGTCCCCAGGAGAGTGTGTCCCCAGGTGAGTGTGTCCCCAGGTGGGTGTGTCCCCAGGTGAGTGTGTCCCCAGGTGAGTGTGTCCCCAGGTGAGTGAGTCCCCAGGTGGGTGTGTCCCCAGGTGGGTGTGTCCCCAGGTGGGTGTGTCCCCAGGTGAGTGTGTCCCCAGGTGAGTGAATCCCCAGGTGGATGGGTCCCCAGGTGGATGTGTCCCCAGGTGAGTGTGTCCCCAGGTGAATGTGTCCCCAGGTGAGTGAGTCCCCAGGTGGGTGTGTCCCAGGTGGGTGTGTCCCCAGGTGAGTGTGTCCCCAGGTGGGTGTGTCCCCAGGTGAGTGTGTCCCCAGGTGAGTGAGTCCCCAGGTGGGTGTGTCCCCAGGTGAATGTGTCCCCAGGTGAGTGTGTCCCCAGGTGAGTGTGTCCCCAGGTGGGTGTGTCCCCAGGTGGGTCATACCCCCCCCCCCCCCCCTCACTTACCACTTACAGGAGAGGAGTGGGAAATGAACCCTGTCCTGATCTCTCATTCGTAATAGGTCACTTTTCTCTCAATGTCTCTCATCATGTCACTTTATTCTGAAGATGATGGTTGAAAAAGCCAAAGCAACTCCGACTGTTTGAAAGTTTTTTATTTTTTTCATTAATTTACTTATGGATAGCAGTAGTATGTGGTTAGGGATAGGGAACTATCCATAACTCTCAGGAGATAGGGATAGGGAACTATCCATAACTCTCAGGAGATAGGGATAGGGAACTATCCATAACTCTCAGGAGATAGGGATAGGGAACTATCCATAACTCTCAGGAGAAGCGTCTTTGTGGGCATCAACAATATACCTTAAAACTTAATATTCCATTTAAATTTCTAAGGTCTAATAAAAATGTAAATTTGTTGATAATAATGAGATTAAATGTTCATTTTCAAAATATGAGAATAATGTAAAATCTAATTATGTTCGAAGTAAATTAGCCCAACCACTTGTGCTGGACGGTAGAGCGACAGTTTTGCTTTATGCAGGTCGGCGTTCAATCCCCGATCGCCCATGAATGGTTGGGCACTATTCCTTTTCCCCCATCCCATTCCAAATTCTTATCCTGACCCCTTCCAAGTGCAATATAGTCGTAATGGCTTTGAGCTTTCCCTTATTAACTCCCTCCCTTCCATGAGGTAAATTATCTAAGGTGTAGCAGTGTCAGAGTTCCATGAAATTTTATCCCAAAAAACGGAGATGGATGCAAAGTCATAATATTAAGGATTCTTCTTGACTTGATTCTTCATTGATCAACTTTACCATGGTACTATAATAAAATAGTATAATTAAATAGAAGATATCGACGAAATTTTTAGGAGTTTATTTCAGTCTTAACTTGAGAATTTGATATTTTGGAATAAATTAAAGAAACAAATATTTGAAGAAATATCGACAACAATTAAACTAAATATAAAATTTATAAACACAAACTTTTACCTGGTCTGAAATGTTCATTAAATCATACAACTTGGGGGGGGGGGAACTCCCAGCTTTTCAGTGTATGCCCTGAGAGTATTATTTACTCCTGGACAATGTTCATACGTAAAGTATACTTTCTAGTTGGTCAGTAAACTTTTGTGGTGGCCATATTGAACTTTTCAGCAGGTGGCAAGCCTTAAGCCCGACACCACACAAAACACCTCACCAGACAACAATACAGGAAGGAATTCAGTTCAACGTGTTAAGTGAAAGTTTAAGCACATGAGAGGAAGAGGTCGCTTACAGACAGAAGCCGCCTCGCATGATAATATATAGAAGCTGCGAGACAGAATATAGAAGCCGCATATAGACAGAAGCCGCCTCGCATGATAATATATAGAAGCCGCATATAGATAGAAGCCGCTTATAGACAGAAGCCGCCTCGCATGATAACAGTGACCGCCCCCTGACCTCTTCGTTGCCATAAATATCTTTAATTCACCACATTAGAGTCGATTCCCACTTTTCTTCATACTTTTTATATTAACATATTTTCTCTCACTCTCACCCTAGGTGATGAAATGGGAGAAGTACGTCTCTCATTGTTTCTCACTCTCTCTCTATCTCATCGTCTGTCGACAGTGTCTTATAATCTCTCATTTTCTCTAACTTTAACTAACACAGTCTCTCACTTTACTTAATTATATCTTTACTGTGTCTCTGTTTCTATCGTCTCTCACTGTCACCTACCCCTCACCGCCCCTCACCTACGCCTCACCGTCCCTCACCGTCCCTCACCGTCCCTCACCTACGCCTCACCGTCCCTCACCGTCCCTCACCTACGCCTCACCGTCCCTCACCGTCCCTCACCTACGCCTCACCGTCCCTCACCGTCCTTCACCGTCCCTCACCTACGCCTCACCGTCCCTCACCTACGCCTCACCGTCCCTCACCGTCTCTCACCGTGCCTCACCGTGCCTCCGACAGGGGTGGCGTGAGTGTAGAGATAGAGAAGACACCTTCGAGGACGACGTCCAAGCTGTTCCTCACGCGGGCTGGCAAGGCCGACGTTGGCAACTACACCTGTGTCCCTCAGTACGCTGACGCCGCCTCTGTCCTGGTGCACGTGGTCAATGGTGAGTCCTGGTGCACGTGGTGAGTCCTGGTGCACGTGGTGAGTCCTGGTGCACGTGGTGAGTCCTGGTGCACGTGGTGAGTCCTGGTGCTCGTGGTGAATGGTGAGTCCTGAAGTATTTGGTGCTAAGCGAGTCGGGGGCGTATTTCGTTTTTTAAATGTTGTTTAATGTCAACCTAACTTTGGTTTTTGCTGGTTGTATATACGAAGGGTTACAACTGTTCTGTGTTTCAGTATCGCACCCTATATAGAAAGGAAGATATATTTTTTTAATGTTTTTCCGACGAAATTTACACATTTTCAATAATTAACTACAACCACAAGTTTCAAATGACATCATTTCTAAGACACTCATATATCATATTAGCATATAATAAAGGATTTTTAAAATGGATTATCCAAAATATGTTTAGTTTTACTAATACAAGTAGTCAAAGTTCCCCCCAAAAAATACATGCCAATATTTCATGTTTGCAAATATTTATAAAATCAATAAATGAACTTACGAATAAATTGTTTTATAAATGTTATAGAGAGCCGGTCGGCCGAGCGGACAGCACTCGGGACTTGTGATCCTGTGGTCCTGGGTTCGATCCCAGGCGCCGGCGAGAAACAATGGGCACAGTTTCTTTCACCCTATGCCCCTATTTCCTAGCAGTAAAATAGGCACCTGGGTGCTAGTCAGCTGTCACGGGCTGCTTCCTGAAGGGGTGGTGGCCTGGTTGAGGACCGGGCCGCAAGGACACTAAAAGCCCCGAAATCATCTCAAGATAACCTCAAGAAGAAGAGGAGTGACGTCATCTCTACATATAAGATGTAAATTTCATGTAAATTGAGAAAATGAAAGAGGAGATGTAATTTTTTGTTTCTTGAAAATAAATAAGATCAAAAACACTCTGCCACCTGTGATTGAAGTTGACTTCAATCAATTTCCTCGAAAATTTGCATCTTTACAGATAGGCATACGTTCTGTAAGGTGTATAAGTTTCTTGCAAATCAGCTGATAAAAAATATGAACAAAAATTGAGAAAAAATCTATTTTTTTTATTTTTTTTTTTGCCATAAAACTGAATATTAAAATATTTTATTATATGCTATTGTGATAGCTTAGAGTCATAGACATGATATCAGTTGACATTTTGTTTAATGTTAATTTTTTACCATTTTGGAATTTTTTTAAACATAATTAAAAAAAAACTCTCCCTATTTATTCTAATCATCGTAATTCTCTACGATGCTGAGACTTGGGCCAGTTGAACCAAATTTTATATACAACTAGTCAAAAAAGTTTGGTTGACATTAAAACATTTAAAAAAACGCAATATGTCCCCCTTAAGAGCGTGGTGACTAGCAGTTTAATGTCAACCTTTGACTACTGGTGGTGATCGTAAACAAATCCACGGGAGCCCTGTTGAGGGTTCGAACCTATGCGCTGGGTGTTCCCAGGCAGGCTCTAGTCACTCAGCACATCGGTTCGATCCCACATCACGGCTGCTGTTCATTGATATCTCACGATAATGGGATTTCTCGGAGTAAGAACCGGTAAATATAGTGAGTCTTGGTGCATATTGTGATCCCTAATGTTCCTGGTGAGTGATGATCAGCCTGGTGAGTGGTGATCAGCCTGGTGAGTGGTGATCAGCCTGGTGAGTGGTGATCAGCCTGGTGAGTGGTGATCAGCCTGGTGAATTGTGATCAGCCTGGTGAGTGGTGATCAGCCTGGTGAGTGGTGATCAGCCTGGTGAGTGGTGATCAGCCTGGTGAGTGGTGATCAGCCTGGTGAATTGTGATCAGCCTGGTGAGTGGTGATCAGCCTGGTGAGTGGTGATCAGCCTGGTGAGTGGTGATCAGCCTGGTGAGTGGTGATCAGCCTGGTGAATTGTGATCAGCCTGGTGAGTGGTGATCAGCCTGGTGAGTGGTGATCAGCCTGGTGAATTGTGATCAGCCTGATGAGTGGTGATCAGCCTGGTGAGTGGTGATGAGCCTGGTGAAGCATGTCTTGTATTACAGTACCAATAACACCGACAATAATCATTAATACTCCTCTTGTCATCCTCTCAGGGGAAGAGTCCGCGGCCGTCCAAACTGCAGGTGCCGTCACAGCACACATGAACAGGCACATGCTGGTGTGGTGTGTGTTGTTGGTGGTGTGTCGGGCGTGGCGGTGACCCCGTGACCTGGTGGGCGAGAGTGTGGCTGTTGCTGCTGGTGACGTCCTCGTGCCCTGGTGGTGGGCGCTGGTGACCTGGGTGTATAGCGTCGCTGTCCCAGGGTTGGCGAGGTCCACTTGTCCTGGTGAGTGTGGGGGAGGCGGGAGAGGCGGGGTCTGGGGTGTTCCTGAGGGTGATAAGTTGGTGGAAGGCTGATGTCTCAGGCGGGGCCTCCGGAATATACGTAAATAACAATGTCCTTTAGGCTAACCTGTAGTGTTGCTACTGTCCTCAGAGCGAGATCATGGAGGTTTTAAAGGATTAATTAGGGTATGTATAACTGTATGTGTGTACTTACCTAGTTTTACTTACCTAGTTGTGCTTGCAGGGGTTGATCTCTGGCTCTTTGGTCCCGCCTCTCAACTGTCAATCAACTGGTGTACAGATTCCTGAGCCTACTAGGATCTATCATATGTACACTTGAAGCTGTGTATGGAGTCAGCCTCCACCACATTACTACTTAATACATTCCATCTGTTAACTACTATGGCACGGAAAAAGTTCTTTCTGATGTCTCTGTGACTCATTTGGGTACTCAGCTTCCACCTGTGTCCCCTTCTTCGTTTTCCGCCCGTGCTAAAGAGTTTGTCTTTGTCCACCCAGTCAATTCCCCTGAGAATTTTGTAGGTGGTTATCAAGTCTCCCCTTACTCTTCTGTCTTCTAGGGACGTGAGTTTCAGGTCCTTTAGCCTTTCCTCGCAGGTCATACCTCTCAGTTCCGGGACAAGTCTGGTGGCATACCGCTGAATCGCCTCTAACTTTGTCTTGTGTTTAGCTTGGTATGGACTCCAAGCTGGAACTGCATATTTTAGGATAGGGCTGACATAAGTGGTATACAAGGTCCTGAACGATTCCTTCCTTAAGTTTCTAAAGGCAGTTCTTATATTGGCCAGTCTAGCATATGCCGCTAAGAATATCCTTTTCACGTGAGCCTCTGAGGACAGGTTCGGTGTGATATCAACCCCCAGATCCTTCTCTCTATTTGTCTCTTTTAGAATTTCACCTCCCAGATGGTAACTTGTGTTCAGCCTTCTGCTCCCTTTGCCTAATTTCATTACTTTGAACTTTCCTGAGTTGAACTTAGCAGCCATTTTCTAGACCACTCCTCCAGCTTGTCCAGGTCATCCTGTAGTCTCTGTCTATCATCATCTGTCTTGATTCTTCTCACAATTTTTGCATCATCGGTAAACATTTATAGGAACGAGTCTATACCCTCTGGAAGATTGTTTGCATATATTAGAAACAGGATGGGTCCAAGTACAGAGCCCTGTTGGACTCCGCTGTTTACATCTCGCCACTCTGATGTCTTCCCCTCACAGTTACTAACTAGCTGTTTCCTGTTGCTTAGATACTTTCTTTTCCACTGAGCACCTTACCTTTCACTCATGCCTGTTGTTCCAACTTTCGTAACAGCCTTTTAGTGGGTACTGTGTCAAAAGCTTTCTGACAGTCCAAGAAAATGCAGTGTGCGCAACCTTCTCTTACTTGCCTAATTTTTGTTGCTTGGTCGTAGAATTCTATTAACCCTGTGAGGCACGATTTACCATCTCTGAACCCATGCTGGTGGTGTGTTACAAAGCTATTTCCCTCCAGATGCTCTACGAGCCTTTTCCTCACGATTTTCTCCATTACCTTGCATGGTATACAAGTTAGGGAAACTGGCCTGTAGTTCAGTGCCTCTTGCCTGTCACCCCTTTTTGTATATTGGGATTACATTAGCTGTCTTCCAGGTTTCTGGTAGATCTCCTGTTTCCAGTGACCTGTTATACACCATAGAGAGTGGCACGCTTAGGGCTTCTGAACCTTCTTTTAGTATCCACGGTGAGATTCTGTCACGCCCAACAGCCTTTGACACATTCAGCTCCAATAGATTCTTTTTGACCTCATCACTGGTGAGGTCAAAATCCTCCAAGGTTGCTTGGTTTGCCTCCTCGACATTTAGCACAGGGGCTTCTCTTTGTTCTTTTGTGAAGACCTCCTGGAATCTCCTGATGAGTTCTTCAAACACCTCCTTGTCATTCTCTATGTATCTGTTCTCCCCTTTTCTCAGTTTCATCACTTGTTCCTTCACTGTTGTTTTCCTCCTGATGTGACCGTGGAGCAGTTTTGGTTGGGTCTTAGCTTTACTCACAATGTCATTTTTGCATGTCTCTCTGCTTCTCTCCTCACTCTGAGGTACTCATTTCTGGCCCTCTGGTATCTCTCCCTGCTCTCTGGTGTTCTGTTATTCCTGTAGTTTCATCTTGTTCTTTTACTCACTTGCTTTGCTACGCTACATTTCTGGTTGAACCATGGATTCTTCTGTTGCTGTTCGCTTTTCTCCTTTTAGACCAGAATAAATCTATCTGCAGCTTTCTGGCATTTCTGGGTAACATAGTCCATCATATCCTGTACATTCTTTTCTCTGAGTTCTGTTTCCCATGATATTTCCCTTAGGAAGTTCCTCATCTCATCATATTTTCCTCTTCGGTAATTCATTCTTTTTCCTTCCGATCCCATCCTTGGATAGGTTATCCCTACCTCCACCAGATACTCAAATACCAATACACTGTGGTCACTCATTCTTATGGGGGCTTCAAATTTGACTTCTCTAATTTCTGACTCATTCAGGGTGAATATCAGGTCGAGTCTAGCTGGTTTATTATTGCCTCTCATTCTTGTGGGTTCCCTGACATGTTGACTCAGAACGTTTCTTGTTGCCACTTCCAAGAGTTTAGCTCTCCATGTATCTACACCTCCATGTATCTACACCCCCATTCTTCCAGTCTATCTTTCCATGGTTGAAAGAGTCCATGATTGGACGCCCATGATTAAGAGTCTTGAGCCACTCCTGCAGGCAAATGATGCTGCTCTCTCTATTATATTAATGGTTGCCATGTTGTTCCTATCAAACTCCTATCTGGGTCTTCTGTCAATTTGCGGAGGGTTGTAAATGACTGCCACTATTATCTTTGGTCCACCCACTGTCATAGTTCCTGTTATGTAATCTATGAATCCGTCACAGCCCGAAATTTCCATCTCATCAAAGCTCCAGTCCTTCCTTATCAGCAGGGCCACTCCTCCACCTCCTCTCCTTTCCCATTTTTTCCTTTCTATATAGTAGTCCTTTGGAAACACAGCGTCTGTTATGCTGTGTGTACTCACCCAATTGTACTCACCTAATTGTGCTTGCGGGGGTTGAGCTCTGGCTCTTTGGTCCCGCCTCTCAACTGTCAATTAACTGGTGTACAGATTCCTGAGCCTACTGGGCTCTATCATATCTACATTTGAAACTGTGTATGGAGTCAGCCTCCACCACATCACTTCCTAGTGCATTCCATTTATTAACTACTCTGACACTGAACAAATTCTTTCTAACGTCTCTGTGGCTCATCTGGGTACTAAGTTTCCACCTGTGTACCCTTGTTCGTGTCCCACCCGTGCTGAAGAGTTTGTCTTTGTCCACCCTGTCAATTCCCCTGAGAATTTTGTAGGTGGTTATCATGTCTCCCCTAACTCTTCTGTTTTCCAGGGATGTGAGGTTCAGCTCCCTTAGCCTTTCCTCGTAGCTCATACCTCTCAGTTCCGGGACTAGTCTGGTGGCATACCTTTGAATCTTCTCTAACTTTGTCTTGTGTTTAACTAGGTATGGACTCCAGGCTGGAGCTGCATACTCCAGGATTGGTCTGACATAAGTGGTATACAAGGTCCTGAACGATTCCTTACACAAGTTTCTGAAGGCAGTTCTTATGTTGGCCAGTCTAGCATATGCCGCTGATGATATCCTTTTGATGTGGGCCTCTGGGGACAGGTTCGGTGTGATATCAACCCCCAGATCCTTCTCTCTATTTGATTCTTGCAGGATTTCCCCTCCCAGATGTGTGTGTGTGTGTGTGTGTGTGTGTGTGTGTGTGTGTGTGTGTGTGTGTGTGTGTGTGTGTGTGTGTGTGTGTGGTGTGTGTGTGTGTGTGTGTGTGTGTGTGTGTGTGTTGTGTGTGTGCGTGCGTGTGTGTGTGTGTGTACTCACCTAATTGTGCTTGCGGGGGTTGAGCTCTGGCTCTTTGGTCCCGCCTCTCAACTGTCAATCAACAGGTGTACAGATTCCTGAGCCTACTGGGCTCTATCATATCTACATTTTGAAACTGTGTATGGAGTCAACCTCCACCACATCACTTCCTAGTGCATTCCATTTACTAATTACCCTGATACTGTAAAAGTTCTTTCTAATGTCTCTGTGGCTCATTTGGGTACTCAGCTTCCACCTGTGTCCCCTTGTTCGCGTCCCTCCAGTGTTGAATAATTCATCCTTGTTTACCCGGTCGATTCCCCTGAGGATTTTGTAGGTTGTGATCATGTCCCCCCTTACTCTTCTGTCTTCCAGTATCGTAAGGTGCATTTCCCGCAGCCTTTCCTCATAACTCATGCCTCTTAGTTCTGGGACTAGTCTAGTAGCATACCTTTGTTCTTTTTTAAGCTTCGTCTTGTGCTTGACAAGGTACGGGCTCCATGCTGGGGCCGCATACTCCAGGATTGGTCTTACATATGTGGTGTACAAGATTCTGAATGATTCCTTACACAGGTTCCTGAACGCCGTTCTGATGTTAGCCAGCCTTGCATATGCCGCAGACGTTATTCTCTTTATGTGGGCTTCAGGAGACAGGTTGGTGTGATATCAACTCCTAGATCTTTCTCTCTGTCTGTTTCATTAAGTACTTCATCTCCTATTCTGTATCCTGTGTCTGGCCTCCTGTTTCCACTGCCTAGTTTCATTACTTTGCATTTACTCGGGTTGAACTTCAACAGCCATTTGTTGGACCATTCACTCAGTCTATCTAGGTCATCTTGTAGCCTCGTACTATCATCCTCTGTTTCAATCCTCCTCATAATTTTTGCATCGTCGGCAAACATTGAGAGGAACGAATCTATA